TTTGCGGTGGCCTCTCCCATTGCGGAGCACAGGCTCCGGACGCACAGGCTCAGCGGCCATGGCTCACGGGCCCAGCCGCTCCACGGCATGTAGGGATCCTTCCGGACCGGGGCACGAACCCGCATCCCCTGCATCAGCAGGCGGACTCGCAACCACTGTGCCACCAGGGAAGCCCTAGTTTTCAGTCTTTTACTTAGAGAAAGAGGTCCTGTTACTGCATCCTTATTTCATGACTAAGCCCTAGTTTGGGGCTTAAATTTCTACAGAGCCCACTGGTATACATTTCTGATGTCGCCAGTTTCTGCTTTTGCTGTCTTTATGCTATGCAAGCCTGTGTTAACACCCTTACTGCTATATCCCCCTTATGTTTGCTGCCAGCTAGAATTACTATGCAGTATGTTGCTTTACTTCTCAAATACCATATTCTGCTTGATAGACTATTCTAAGCAACTAGTCCAGTCAATAGTCCAGTCAACTATTCTAAGCAAATAGTCCAGTCTAAGCTGGACTATTCTGTCCAGCTCTTTCTTCCAGTATCAGCACTGCTTTCCTTAAGATACTAGTTCTAGATCTGGATGCTTTCTGTTTGGTCCATTCCACAATAGTTCACAGCGCTATGCTGGACTGAGTTAAGACATGTGACAGGAAAGAAGAGATGGTTAAAACTACAGAAGTAGTTATTGGTGGAGAATAGGGAACGGTTTGTTTTTTAAAACATATAATTTTGAACACTACCTTATATTCTTTCTAAGACAAGCCTGGTAAGGTATAAATGAATAGTAAGGGTTTGATTCGTTAGAGTAGTTCAAATAGTAAATACTTATTTTAATTTTGGGGTACTAATCTTATGTTTCCACCAACCATCTGATCAGAATTTGTCTTGCGTTTTCTAATTATTTAAAGAATATTATGAAGAGTATTACTTGACAGAGAATTGAGTAATGTTACTTAAAAAATATTACTCAGCATAATGTCCTCAAGTTCCATCCATGAAAAACTGTCGTGTGAAATCTTTGAAGACTGAAAGAGGTAATTTGTAAAGGAAAAAAAAGTAAATCATAAAGTATTTATAATAGTTGGGAAATAGAGCGTTACTAGATTTATTATGTTTAAAAATTCATAAAATTGTTTTTTCTTTTATCCTTTTAATCTCAATATATTTTTATTTATTCTTTTAAGACAAAAAGAAAATATGTAGCACAAACCCTTCTATGAAGAATTTTGCAAGTAGTTTTTTCCCATGTTTGTCTTCATAATTTATCTTTCCTTTCTCCCATTAACTCTTTTTTTTTAATTGAGCTATAATTGACATTTAACATTTTATTAGTTTTAGGTGTACAACATAATGATCTGATATAGATATATTGTGAAGTAATTACCACAATAAGTTTAGTTGACATCCATCACCAAACACATTTTTTTTCTTGTGATGAGAACTTTTAAGATCTACTTTTTTAGCAACTTTCAAACATACAGTGTAGTATTATTAACTGTAGTCACCATACTGTACATTACATCTCAGGACTTATTTATTTTGTAACTGGAAGTCTGTCCCTTTTGACCACCATTACCCGTTTTGCCCACCCCCTCCACTTGCCTCTGGCAACCACCTGTCCATTCTCTGTCATTTTGTTTTTGTTTTTAATATTTCACATATAAGTGAGATTATACAGTATTTGCCTTGGACTTATTTCATTTAACATATTGTCCTCAAAGTCCATCCATGTTGTTGCAAATGCCAGGATTTTCTTCGTTTTTATGGCTGAATAATACTCTATTGTATATATAGACCACATTTTCTTTATCCGTTTATCTGTTGATGGACACAGGTTGTTTCCATGCCTTGGCTATTGTAAATAATGATGTAGTGAACATGGGAGTGCAGATATCTTTTCAAGATAGTGATTTTATTTGCTTTGGATAAATACCCAGAAGTGGAATTGCTCATATGATAGTTCCATTTTTAATTTTTTGAGGAATCTCCACACTGCTTTTCAGAGTGGCTGTACCAGTTTACATTCTGAACAGTGCATGAGGTTTCCCTTTTTTCCATACCCTCAGCAGCACTTGTAATCCCTATGACAGTCATTCTAACAGGTTTGAGGTGATATCTCGTAGTTTTGATTTGTATTTCCCTGATGTAGTTTTCTGTAGGCACCTTTGAAGATTTTCCTCTAAAAAGTGGGGAAAGCATGGGAAAAGGCTTAGAAATAAGAAAAAAAAAACTATGGTGTGAAATCTTTGAAGACCGAAAGAGGTAATTTATAAAGGAAAAAAAAGTAAATCATAAATTATTTATAATATTTGGGAAATAGTGTTACTGGATTTATTATGTTTAAAAATTCATAAAATCTTTTTTCTTTGTCTTATGCAAATTACATTTTCTTTAAATTAAATTAGTATTCTTCCTTGTTTTAGCATTATACAATAAAAATTATTTTTCTTTAGTAATTAAGATTTTTAAAACCTCCTTAGGTAATTATTCTGAACATAAGTTATAGTGTAGGGTGCTGGGGATCAAGAAGGTACAGCAAATTGAGGAAAATCTCTTAGTATTTCAGTATGAAGGTAGTGCTTTGGCATAAATTCCTTACCTGAATTTTCATTATTTATACTTAAAAATCCATTTTTAATTAATGGAATTTTTTGATTACATAAGGTTATCTTTAGTACTATGCATAGGAATTATAGATTTTATAGATTCTCTTCCCTAATAGAATATATTAAGTAAAAATATACAGGATTAAGGTGAGTTTAGCTAAATTCATAGATAATAGCAGCTTAGTGGATTATTTTTTTTCTATTTTTTTAATTAATTTATTTTTTAGTGGATTACTAAAAGAAACCAGGTATGTGTTTTGATATTATGAAGGTTAATTATGACTTTCCCCCCAATATATGTAATTCCATGGAATTGGACAGGCCATGGCTTTATCCTCAGTTTTTATTTCTTAGGCTCTTGTGTACCGGTTAATGTAGCAGAGATGCTTTTTCATATCTTAAAGGCTATTTATAAGATGAGAACTATAGGGACTTCCCTGGCGGTCCAGTGGTTAAGACTTCGCCTTCCAATGCAGGGGCGGGTTCGATCCCTGGTCACGGAGCTAAGATCCCACATGCCTTGTGGCCAAAAAACCAAAACATAAAACAAAAACAGTATTGTAACAAATTCAATAAAGACTTTAGAAATGGTCCATGTCAGAAAAACCCCCAAAAGACCAAACCAGAAACAATATTGTAACAAATTCAATAAAGACTGTAGAAATGGTCCATGTCAAAAAAACCAAAAAAAAAAGATGAGGACTCTAGAGTTTAAAAGATTGCTGAAAGAGTTACAGGTAGTGTTTTCATCTGTTGGCTTTTTGTACTGCAAGTATCATGTGGCAAGTATCATGTGTCTTGAAATAGGAATAGATAAATTTCTGCTTTGGCAGTTACATTTTGTTTAGATTTTTCTGAGTTGTTCAGTGTTTTGTGGTTTTCAGAGCATAACATTTCTATTATCTGAGTGCTCTAAAGCAAGTTTCTTTGTCACCTAAATGTATTACTTTTGGTGGGGGTGAGAATGAGCATGAGAAGTTGGAGAATGTACTGACAAAGGTTATAGTTACAAAATGAGAAACAGAGGGGAAACAATGGAAATAATGGAAATGAGATGTCCATTTACCTGGAAATGAGGTTCTCTTCCATCCGCAGGGCTTGCTGTGTTTTGTTATTTATTTGCTTGTTTGTTTTTATTGTAGCGTGCTGTCTTTGTGCAGGGTAACAGCCTGAAGTGTAAACTTATGATTTTCTCATGTCTTTTCTGAGCCTTTCCCTGGGCAAGTGTGGTTATTTAAAATTTTTTCCCGTATATGTATTTTCTTTTGAAGGTCCTAGTCTTTAATGTCTGGTTCCCAAAAGGGGAAAAAGAAAAATGAAGGTGGGGGGTAAAAGGTACCAGTCTGCTAAGTCCTGGAAGTCACTTTGGACCAACGGGTGGGGTTTGCAATAATAGGAGGGGTCACCCACCTCTTTGTCTGCCATCATGTGATGAGAAGCAGCAATCAGTGATCAGAGCACATATCCCCAGTATTTGGAGGACAGGGTTCATTTTGTCCAACCTGGCTCCTAAAAGCTGTGACATGCTGCTGCAGGAACATGTGCACAGCTGCCTGCCATGTGGCTTAGGATGGGGGATAGGTAGCTGCTACTGTACTAAGAGCTGAAATGGACCAAAATTAACTGTAATTTACCTGTGCCAGCCTTTCCCTGGAAGTTGCAAGCTTTCAGTAGACTCCAGAGTTCCAAAATAGATAAGTCAGACAGATTGTGCTAATGTAATTGTTGTCTAGGTTGAGATTCAGATTCCTATTGCTTTCTATTCTGCCATCTTCCCCCCATATTTTTAAAAACGCTACTTTTTAAAGTTAATTAACTTACTTATTTTTGGCTGCGTTGGGTCTTCGTTATTGTGCACGGGCTTTCTCTAGTTGCGGCGAGCGGGGGCTGCTCTTAGTTGTGGTGCGCGGGCTTCTCATTGCGGTGGCTTCTCTTGTTGTGGAGCACGGGCTTGAGGTGGGCGGGCTTTGGTAGTTGTGGCACACGGGCTCGGTAGCTGTGGCTTGCAGGCTCAGTATTTGTAGCTCACAGGCCTAGCTGCTCTGTGGCATGTGGGATCTTCCCGGACCAGGGCATGAACCCATGTCCCCTGCATTGGTAGGCAGATTCTTAACCACCAGGAAAGCCCTAAAAATGCTACTTTAATACATTCTTTTCATAAATAAATTTATATATTTTCTTTTATACGTAGTAAAGGCCACCAACCAAAATTATCCATTTATTTTTGTTCAGCACTTCTTAGAGTCTGTTTTTACAGAACTTCCTTAGTTGGTATATTCAGTACAGCTTGCCATTAATTAAGATTCAAGGATATTATAGCTGTGACAAGACGTAGAGTCAGGGTCAATGAATACTTTGATTTTCTGGTGTCACAGTGTATGTCACTTGAGGAAAAATCATGATTTCCTAATGGAAACTATCTGGGCCTCTTATGTTGGTTCACTTAAACATGTGGCAGTATTACATGTGTTTTTATTATACTTATTAGGGATACATGGAATTGCTTGATGCATTATACTTATTGTTGTTTCTCTTACAGGAATGTATGTGCTTTTCTGTATGTATAATCGTTGTATACCCTATGGTCACATGTTCCTGTGTATATTTTCATGTATTCTAAACATATACCTGAATTTTGTATTTATAGAAAACATAGCTAATGCTGGAAGGTAAAAATAAATGTATGAACTTATATTTTTTTCTTTATGTAGGCAGTGTTCAGAATGTGACCAGGCAGGGAGCAGTGACATGGAAGCAGACATGGCCATGGAAACCTTACCAGATGGGACCAAACGATCAAGGAGGCAGATTAAGGAACCAGTGAAATTTGTTCCACAGGATATGCCTCCAGAACCCAAGAAGATTCCAATAAGAAACACGGTAATTTATTCCCTAGTTATCATAACCATTACAAAATTCTGAGGTCAAAATTTAAGGGGTGAGAAAAACAAAGGGTAAACATATACTCAGTAGCCAATGAAAGGAACATGTATATTGCTATTGGTTATTCTTAAAAGTTTATTTTATATTATGAAACATACCAATCATACATGAGAATGTACAGTTTTTATGTTCAACATAAAGCATAATAATAATGAAGGCCCATTGTGTTCACAAACCCACTTCAAAAATAGAATATTACCAAAGCCTTTGAAGTCACCTTTGAATCCCTCAGAGGTCACCACGTTTCTCAACTTTGTATTTCTCATTCACTCCTTTTTTTATACGTATTGATATGTATGTATATATGTATTCATAAATAATACATAGTTTTTCAGGGTTTGAACTTCATATAAATGGAGTCAGACTTTTTTCCTGTTATTTGATACTTTGACCAACATTATCTTGATTTGATTCACACATGCTGATCTGTGTAATTGTAGTTCATTTATTTTCACTAATCTGTAGTTTTTTATTGAAACAATAGATCATTATTAATTTATCTTTTGTTCTATAGTTTGGCAGCTTTGTTGTCTCCATCTTTTTACTTTTGTAAACAACTCATTTTTAAATATCTTTCTAAATGTCTCTTGCAGCACGGTAACAGGGAGTTAGGGTATATAGCAAGGCATGGATTTGCTTAGTTATAGGATATCTGCATCTTCAGTTTTGCTAGGTAATTCCAGTATTTTCCAAACCAGTTTACACTTATACCAGTAATGAATAAGTGGTATAAGTTTTGCTCCCAAACATGTTTTGCCCAATGTTTTAATGCTTTCCAGTGTGATACATGTAAAATAGTACATGGACATTTTATTTTGCATTTCCCTCAACACTTAGATGACTTAGAGCATGTATTTGTATATTTTTGATCAGTTGTATTTCCTCTTCTAGGATATGTATGTGCAAGTCTTATTCAGCTTTTCTATCACGTTGTTAGCCTATTTCTGATTGAAAATTCTTTGAGGTCAGAGTTATTACCAGGTGCCTGGGAGCTCTACCAACCTAAGACCATTTTAAATAAAAGTTTAGCACGTGTGTCTCTTCCATTACATGAGTAGTGTTAATTTCTACTCCAAACCCATGAGGGGTGGCTTGCAGTTATGAATTCTAAGGGGAGACATTTTTCACCTTCTTACCTTGAGCCAAGGCAGGCACATTTAAAAACTCTGCCTTCCCCTGAGGGAGATGTAAAAATGTATTTAGGGTTAGTTATCATCATTCATTTGTTTTATCTGTTTGGTTTTAGAGAGTCTTAATTTTTTTTTTCCTTAAACTAACAGTTTTCTCAAAAGTTTTTTTTTAATCTGTAGTCTGTATTACAATATAATCACTTAAAAGATTTTGTTTAAGAGAAATCACTTAGATTATTTCGTTCAGTTTTGTGTTATGGACTCATTTGAAATCAAAGAGGCAAATCTGGGAATTTTTATCTTTTAGATAATTGAAGTAGTTAATTTTGAGTGCTCTAAATTGATCAACTTGAAATAGTTTAATCTATAATTTCTACTAGTTTAAAACATTTTTTAGACTTCACAAATATATTTTGTTTACAGATGAACTAGAGAGAATTTTCCTTCTTTAAATAAGCCTGTTTGTTTCTATTTCTAAAATATTTTCTATAACTGTTTGTTGCTACTATCTGAAGCTATTCTTAAAATCTTAGAGAAAAACTTAATGTCTACAAAATTATCCTCTTATGAAACATTTTTTATAGTTTCTTTATTGTTTAAAGAAATCCTTAGGAACAGTATTATCATTTTTTAACTTTGGAGTTATCATATAGAGGGGAATTTTGTACATATTATAGTGATATTTATGTGCCCATAGTTTAGTATTACTTAAGATAAATGGGGTGTTTTTTTTTTTTTTCTAATTTACCTGTCTGCTTTTCCAGCCTAGAATTACAAGGAAGCTTTAAAATTTTCTAATGTAGTCCAGTTCCTCTCATCTTATTGTCTCTAGTTTTCTTGTGTTAAAGTTTTAGTCTTCTTGTAGATGTTGGTAGGTAAAAGACGAGAAAGGATTCTATGCCCAGTAATTTTAGGAAATATAGTATGGTTATTTTTTCTTTGGGGGGAATTCAAATGCATATTGAAGCTTTGAGAAATACTAATGTTTAGAAAAATGATTACTTTTCCTTATTTATCCTTTTTCCTAACTTATTTTATCAAAGAGCACTTCTTTTCAAGACAACATTTTATTGTGGCCATAGAGCACCATGAGGTACCATCTTTGGAAATGGTATTCTAGAGGCCACAGATTCCTTGCATCAGGATCACCTGGGGTGTTTGTTGAAATGTAGACTTTGGATTCATCCTAGAGCTAATGAATTAGAATTAGGGGGTTGGGCTAAGCAGATATCTTAGGTGTTAGTCTTATGCAGACTAAAGTCTGAAAGTAACTCTCTGGATAACATTTATGAATATTCTTCTCTGCCTTTGCTCCATCAGTCTGTACAGCAGTTCAGAAAACTTGTGATAAGCATATTCAGTTGGTCAGGTAACAGACTGAGGAACTTAAGAATTGAGAGATGTAGAAGAGAATGTTCAGTCTCTTGATCTTGATCTTGGCTGAGTTTCTATTGTTACCTTAATTTTTTTTTTTTATTAAATTTATTTATTTATTTATTTTTTGCTTTGGCTGCATTGGGTCTTTGTTGCTGCCCGTGGGCTTTCTCTAGTTGCAGTGAGTGGGGTCTACTCTTCGTTGCAGTGCACAGGCTTCTCACTGCGGTGCCTTCTCTTGTTGCAGAGCACAGGCTCTAGGCACCAGACTTCAATAATTGTGGCTCGCAGGCTCAGTAGTTGTGGCTCGCAGGCTCCAGAGCGCAGGCTCAGTAGTTGTGGCACACGGGCTTAGCTGCTCCGTGGCATGTGGAATCTTCTCAGACCAGGGCTCAAACCCATGTCCCCTGCATTGGCAGGTGGATTCTTAACCACTGCACCACTAAGGAAGTCCCTACCTTAATTTTTTATCAGTCATTTTTGTTTGGGTTGTATTAACGTTTTAAAGTTTCTTTTCTTAGCACTCTGTTAATTATGGGAATTCAAGTATATTACTGCCTAATAATAATTTGTTTAGTCAAGTACCTTTCACAATAAATAACTGATTTATCTCTCCCTTTAATATTTTAATTGTTGTTTCTAGTATCTTCCTACTTGCACCTTTTATTTTAGTACATATTTTACATTTTGGGATATTCCATCCTTAAATTCTTTCTAATAGTATTTTTGCTTTTGCTAGTTTTTTGTTTTTCTGGCCATTATTCATCAAAATATAGTTCATTTCACAGTAGTCATAGTATTCTATCAGAATTTTCAAGAAAATTTTACCCTTGTGACATAGGGGATTCATGACAGAATTTAAACTTCAGTTTCTCATTTCAAAGTAATAGCTCACTCAGTAAAACTGTTGAAATGATCATCTCTTCTAAAACTTTCCATTTCTGTTAAGTTTGTTATGTTCCCTTGGGTTATAGTGATAGCACAGTTTTTAGAAAAGTAGTTTGGGGTTATTTCATGCTAGTAAAAATGATTTCATCTTGTTTCAGATATCCATCTTGTACGATTATGAATTTATATTCTGTTAGAATAATTTTATTTTTAAAAATTCAGACTTTGCAGTATAATTAAGTATATATAGCACTTTAATCTGTTTTTTTTGAAGTCTGTCTCTGTGGGATTGTCGAAGAATCATCAAAAACAAAAAATGATCAGAACTACTATAGTTTGAAGTTCCATTTTTATTGAATATCTTTTCTTACCATCTGTTATTACTTTCTCTCCTTTTATACTTTATATCTTTATGTTTAAAAATAAAGTCATGGTGGTAGTAAGGGAGTGAAAGGGAGAAAGAAGGGATTCACATGTTGGAATATTTGAGTAAATCCTGGTATATTACTACTATTAATTTAACATCTTTTTAATCTATATTGCTAATAAATCCAACCATTTTATTATTCTCTATTTCTTCCTATTATTTGACCTTTGTGTATTTTACTTCATTACATTTTTCAAAGGTAGGTAAGTCAGAAGTGGATGTGGGGAATTAGTTTACTTTTATATAAGATGGTTTAATAATAATAATACCTAACATTTGCTGAGGACTGATCATATACCAGATACTGTAGTAATCCTCCACCCTACTCCCTCTTTAAAAAAATAAGTTACTTTTAACTTTTCATAACTCCTATATTACTCAAAATGAATCTGAGGCACAGAAACCTTAAGTAATTTACCTGTGATCTTACAGATAGTAAGTGGAATAGGAATTGAACCCAGACAGCCTGAATTAAGAACTAGTGTCTTGGGCTTCCCTGGTGGCGCAGTGGTTGAGAGTCCGCCGGCCAATGCAGGGGACACGGGTTCGTGCCCCGGTCTGGGAGGATCCCACATGCCGCGGAGCGGCTGGGCCCGTGAGCCACGGCCGCTGAGCCTACGCGTCCGGAGCCTGTGCTCCGCAATGGGAGAGGCCACAACAGTGAGAGG